AGCGAAATCTGAATTTGTACTACAAAATGTTAAGGCCTAAAATTATTATAATCTCTTAAAACATCTAAATAAAAAATAAATATGCTGAATCCATGACTGAGCCTTTGTTTAAAAAAAAAAAATAAAAAAAAATAAAAAATTTCCCCTTTGAGTGAAATGCTGCTTTTCTGTACAAAGAAAGAATCGGAGGAAAAACGTCTAACTTTTGAGATCAAGCTTTAAAAATATGGCACAATAGGTCATGTACTGTATTAAGGGCTTGATCCTGTGGGGGGTCCATGGGCTGTGCTACTGGGTGTGAGAGACTGGCAAAGTCATCACAGCTGTTGGAACCCAGCTTCTGTTTTCATATGACACCGTCATGATCAGGAATAAATGGTGAGTTGTCAGAATGGTGAGAGGTAAAAGGTCCCGAGGGGTCTGTACTGGGACTAGTACTATTCAGTATATTCATAAATGATCTGGAAAAAGGGGTGAACAGTGAGGTGGCAAAATTTGCAGATGATATGAAACTACTCCCAAGATAGTTAAGTCCAAAACAGACTGTGTAGAGTTACAAAGGGATCTCTCAAAATTGAGTGACTGGACAACAAAATGGCAGATGAAATTCAGTGTTGATAAATGTAGAGTAAAGCACATTGGAAAACATCACCCCAACTATACATATATAATGATGGGGTCTAAATTAGCTGTTACCACTCAAGAAAGAGATCTTGGAGTCATTGTGGATAGTTCTCTGAAAACATCTGCTCAATGTGCAGCGGCAGTCAAAAAAGCAAACAAAATATTGGTAATCATTAGGAAAGGGATAGATAATAAGATAGAAAATGTTATATTGACTCTTTATAAATCCATGGTGTGGCCACATCTTGAATATTGGGTGCAGATCTGGTCGGCCCATCTCAAAAAAGATATATTGGAATTGGAAAAGGTACAGTAGAGGGCAACAAAAATTATTAAGGGTATGGAACAGCTTCCATATGAGGAGAGGTTAAAAAAACTGGGACTTTTCAGCTTGAAATAGACGACGACTAAGGGGGGATATGACAGAGGTGTATAAAATCATGATTGGTGTGGAGAAAGTAAATAAGGAAGTGTTTACTCCTTCTCATAACACAAGAACTAAGGGTCACCAAATTAAATTAATAGGCAGCAGGTTTAAAACAAATAAAAGGAAGTATTTCTTCACAAAATGCACAGTCAGCCTGTGGAACTCTTTGCAAGAAGATGTTATGAAGGCCAAGATTATAACAGGGTTCAAAAAAGAACTGGATAAGTTCATGGAGGATAGGTCCATTGATGGCTATTAGCCAGGATGGGCAGGGATGGTGGCCCTAGCCTTTGTTTGCCAGAAGATGGGAATGGGTGACGGGATGGATCACTTGGTGATTACTTGTTCTGTTTATTCCCTCTGAAGCACCTAGCGTTGGCCGTTGTCAGAAGACAGAATACTGGGCTAGACGGACCTTTGGTCTAACCCAGTCTGGCAGCTGCTATGTGCACTGAGCCCACCTGTGTGGGCTCATACTCCTGTTTTATAGTTTCTCTGTACCTGAGCTTTGAGTGTTCACTTCTCGAATTATGAATATTTGTTACCCCACACAACATGGAAATTTACTCTCTAGCTCATGGAAAAATACTCCCCTGCCCTTGATTCTGGTTGGTTCTTGGCACTTCTGGTAAATGGCCTTGCTCTCTTGTGTATGCAGACAGATACGGCTGCTACTCTGAAACCTGCTACTCTGAAAGAAAGAGAAATCCATTAATTCTCAATTGCCTCCCTTTCTGTCTCTAAACAAATGGAATACTGAGCTGCAAAAAGCATGTGTATTACATGAACTGAAGTCTTGGATTTGTTTTCATTTTTCTGGGGATGGAGTGGAGGAGTTATGTAACAAGGGAGAAGTGCAGTGTTTGCAGCCAGAAAGGAGCAACACTAGTGTCAAAGTGGGACACAATAGAAAGAAGGGACAATATTCTTCAGCCTCTAAGTGTTGATTTCAACACTGGAGACATGAAGGGAAAAAACCTGCCATGGCTGCAGGTTGTAAAAAAAGACCCTATTTGGGAATATTTTCAAGAAATTCCTGTACCTCTGGGTAAAAAAAAGAAAAAGGAACACATCCCAAATGTAAACAGTGCAACAAAGAGATTCAAGGCCTGGTTTGTGAGAATGAAACGGCACTATGAAAAATATACCTCAGAAGGCAATGACTGAAGATGATGTGAACGTGTCTGAACAATCTGGATCAACTGGTTAGTAAATTTATTTTTGCATCATTCTTATGGACCTACCTGCCATGTCTTACTATGCTGGTAAATGATAAATTTAGATTATTGTCATAAATTTGTGTTTGTGTGTGGATTAATTATGAATGTCAAACTGTTTGTGTTCAAAATATAATTGGAATTTTTACTTGTGAGTATCAGTTAAATTTTTACTGTTAATGCTGGACTTCTGAAATTATTTTTAATTGCTGAGCATAGTCAAACATTGTAGGTGATGTTTCCTGTTTAAAAGTAGTTTTATTAGACATTTATGAATTTTAACATTTCATGTCTTTCAAGATGGTCAGTATGTTGCTTAAGGATTTAAGTTCTTATGATTTATTAATCTTTCATTTACAGTCTCACTTTTTTTAAAGCAGTGCGCGAGTAATAGTGAGTGACTTTTTCCCCTGCTTTTTTGTTTTTAGGGCCTATCTTAGACATAAGGAATTATGAACGTCCATCTACAGTGTCTACAAATTCAGAGTTTCTGCTGGTATCACCAGCTGTGCTGCAGCTAAACCTTTATTTATTAAGGGCTGGGCTATTTTGTTGTCAATGTGTGAAGAAAATCTTGACAAAATAGATGGCACTATAATAACGAAAATAGTCAACATCGGATTAAAATGAAATGTAGAGGATAGGTTTCAGTATATTCAGCATATTTCCATAGCCTTGGACAGACTGCAGAAAGATGGCTGCTGTATTGCTCATGCTGCTGAAACTTGGAAAGAACTTCGAAGAGGTGTTGAAGAAAGAAATAACCAACAACAAAATTAAATTGCAGGCAGTAAAGAAGCAATCGATGAAGCACTGACTCCAACTCATTTTCTTGCCAGTATTCTCAACACAAAGGATCAGGGTAGATGCCTAACTGCTGAAGAAGATATTGCTGCTATGACATGGGCATCTAATAATCATCCAATCAGTCATGCCAATTACAATGAACTTCAGTGCTGCAGGTGAGCCATTCAAGCAGTATGTGTTTGATGGTTTTAAAGAAAGTCACATCCCTGAAACCAGTTGGAGAACACTTCAATCTCTCTGGTCACTCGATTACAGACCTAAAAGTGGCAATTCTTCAACAACAAAACTTCAAAAACAGACTTCAACGAGAGACTGCTGAATTGGAATTAATTTGCAAACTGGATACAATTAACTTAGGCTTGAATAGAGACTGGGAGTGGATGGGTCATTACACAAAGTAAAACTATTTCCCCATGTTTATCCCCCCCACACTGTTCCTCACAGGGTCTTGTCAACTGCTGGAAGTGTGTATGGTAACACTTATATACACAGAGAACATGGAACAATGAATCTCCCCACTGTATTTTCCACTGAATGCATCTGATAAAGTGAGCTGTAGCTCACAAAAGCTTATGCTCAAATAAATTTGTCTCTAAGGTGCCACAAGTACTCCTTTTCTTTTTGCGAATACAGACTAACATGGCTGCTACTCTGAACACTTAAACTGTGGAAGTCACTAGCTAAGCAGCTGGACCTAGAGTTTGTTGAAGTGCTAAAACAGCTTTTCAGAACAATAGCTTCTTTTGCGGGCATAAAGAATATTTTCTTTGTTTGAACTAATTCATTCAAAGTTGAGAAATTGATTGGGAGCTGAAAAATTAGGAAATTCTTTTTCTCTTTCGGTCTATGAATAAAAACAAGGAAGGAGGGTATGAGATCTACTGGGTTTTTAAGTCTGAAAAGCAGTTTAAATAGCTTAGGAGACTCTCATTTTCAGGGGAATTAGCAAGTAATAACTTAAGCTCTAGTCACTTTCACTTTGTCATATTTGAAAAATTTTACAGGCTGGCCTGAAACAATGTTTAATTCACTGACTGCAGTTAATCCTTCTGTTCCTTTAATAAATCATTTAATTGTAAAAGTGAAACATGTTTTGATTAGAAGTTCATGTATCAAAACATTTAAGGGTGTTTCAGTAAAAATTTTTATGTGCTTTTTTGTTTGTTTAAATTACAGTTACCATCCTAATGCAGCTTAGCACAAATATAAGCAAAAAGTTAATTGACTAGTAAATAAGCAATATATCAATCACCATTTTCTAACGTACTGAAAATGTACAATTAATATGAAAATATTAAACGGTATAACTGCTTAAATAAATGTAAAAAGTTAGTGTACCCTCCTAGCTAGCAAACAGATGTACCAAATGTAGTGCCAAGGGCTCTCTTTAGTTGTAAATCAGCATGTCAGCCAGTGAGAATGCACTTTTCTTTAGAAAATAACTGAAGTACAAATGGGAAAGTTGATTTAAAATGGATTATTTAAATTGAGGCTTTCCACCTGGTAATTTAAATCCATTTCAAATCACCTTGATTTAAATCAGTCTGCTCTTGAGTATCCTTAGTTAAAGGAGCCCAACTCTTCGTATGCATTCCACAGGTCAAACAGAGTCTAAGCATGACTGTGTAGAGGTTCAGATACAAGATGTAACTTTCAGCAATCCTTCCCACAAAAATGGTACCCATAAACAAGACTGAAAAAAATCATCACTTACTGGAGGGATTTAACTCTGCTTCCATTGAAGACCATAGTAGTAATCCCCTTGACTTCAAATGGAGCTGTGTTAGGCCAGTGTTTAGCACTTTGAAAATCCAACCTTAACATCATACACACCTATGCATTGGGGCAAGTTAAGAAATAACACTATTTTTATTATAGACTATGATACTAACCTCTGTGTGCTGCCTGTGTAGGTGATAGGTGCATTAGGAATTACTTAGATAGTTTTGGCATACACTTATTTAAAAAAAAAAACAAAAAACTTGCCTTGTTTGTTGAGGTCTTTATCTTTAGCTAATTTTAACTTATCCTGAAAACCACCATAAATGAGACTGGCTTGATAAGTACTTCCAGAATGACGATTCAGAGTTAAGGCAACTGTCTGCAAAGTGATTAATGATTAAGTGGTTTGGCTAGCTTCATGTGAAACATTAGGAAATAACTGTTCTTGCTGTCTGATGTGTCTGAATTCTTAAGGTTTTCCCTTCGTAAAAGGAAAGAGTAAGAAACTTGTTCGTGGCCTATTAACTGATTCATTAATGAATCAAGACTGGTTTGTATCTATCTGGTTTACCTTGTAGTAAACTATTCAGGCAGAAAATTTTTTGGTTGATAATTCTTCATGACACACAGAGTGAAATCATGCTCTCAGTGAAGTTTATGGAAGTTCTGCCATTTTCTTTATTGGCAGCTGGAAAACACCCATAATAGCAAAAAGATTAAAAATACTAATGACAAATCTGACAAGTCGCTTTTTCTGCACTGAGAAGCAGACTTTCTTTTTCAGGCCTGTGTGACTGTAAAGCATTTTAAACACCTGCAAAACTTAGTACTGCAAATCACTGACTACTTCCTTGTCTAACACGAGCTATAAAGCTGGTTTCCCTTATTGTTGCAAGTCTTGATTTATTAAGTGATGGCGTAAACTGAGCACAGTCTTCACTTGCATAAATTCCATACCCTGCCTACCTCTTTAAAAATAATTTCCTTACCAAGCAGGAAATATAACTTTGAGTTTCTTGTCATGGAGAAATGTCTGTAGTGGCGACGTTAGCTGTTGACTGATCTTTGGACTACTTTGATCCTGGCTCTTGAGGAACTCAACCTTGCCTTTTTTGAGAGGGTCAAGAGAAGTGGCCAGTGATGCTATTGGTGTCAGTCTAATTTGGTGTTTCAGCTTTTTCATGTCCCATATAAAACATCAGTTTCCCAGCACTTTGGGATTTTCTTCTTTTTAATACTTTTTGAGCATAAATATAACTAAAATATAGCTTGCATAGCCACAACAATATACAGTAAGTGGATATAAAAGGAAGAATAAAGCAGAAAACAGCAGTAGTTATTCATAGTAGTATTTGGTCATTGTAACTGAGTTGAAAATGTATCCAGAGTAGTGCGAGTACAGTCTGTCGTCCCCGTCCCCCCCAAGAATTAGGGTACTGTCAGTCAAATATAAAAAACCCTATTAAGGTGTACTCAGAAATTTTCTGCTGTATGGGAATGGGAATAGTTTGACATCTGTGAAACTCTGAACATCATCTAAAGTTTTGAAATCACCTTGGCAAGGAAAAAACCTTAAGGTAGTTTGGGCTTAATTTCACTATTCTGTTAGGAAGCTTTTTTAAAAAAAAAAAAATCAAAACCATTCCCAAATATTAAGCTATATTTTGAGTTTTTCCTAGTATTCTTGGAACATTTTAATTCCTTTTTGGACGGGGGGAGGTATTCTGTTATCAATATTTGGCATAAAAAATGTAATAGGTGCGTGTATATATGTGTGTGTGTATATAGATATATATTTAAAGGAGCTATTAAAATTACCATAATGGCCAAGACAAAATTCTGTAGAATTAGCATGCTTCAGGTTGCAAGCCAGAACTGGGGTATGTCAAGAATGAAACTCATTAGTACAGAAACCCGATTTCTAAAAAGCTTCTCAAGTAGAAAGATTCTGCTAACATAAAATAGGCTAAATATTGGGCCTAGCAACTTTACATGTTTGTTACATTTGTAATATTATTTGCAGTTGTATGTACTATGGGGCTTCATATTTTTCAGAAAGACTGATACGGTTAATTGTAGCTTTCCAGGTTGAGAAAGGAAGTTCCATATTGTTTTTCTGTAGCAGATTCCTGTTGCTATGCAACAAACAGAATGTCACTTAGTACAGGATATATTAAATTTGTATTCTCTGCACATATCTCTGCATGTTCATACTCCAAGGGGAGGTTATAGTTCAGGCTTTCTACGGAAGACTTAATGTGATATATACATTTACATTTTTCTTCAGACGCTTGCTGTAACTCTGGTTACAAGTAAGTACTTGCCTAGCCATTTTTTATTTTTCAGATGTAAAGGACACCTGTGCAATATGATCAGACTTCTAGCCAGACAAAAAGGGGTGTTTGTTGTGTTCCTGGCAGTGGAGTTATATTGCCAAGCAACATCATAAGATTTCAAAAGAGGGAGAGACGTTTTTGTGTGGAGAAGTTTAATAGTAGTTTGTGGATTCTGAAAACATTTAAATATAAATATGAGCCAAAATAATTCCATTTCAGTGTCATATGAAATCCTGGGCCAAAACCTTACGTTGGCTTTTAATGACTTTAATTAACTTTACCATTTGAATTTGAAACTTAAAAAAAAAAAATCTAGAGACTGTCTCTAGATGGATTCTGGAATAAATGTAGTATGATGTTTGGGAAATTACTTTCTTCCTGTGTGGGCTGTGAAACAAACACTTAAGTAATTGACAAGTGACAAGAAAGATAACTGAAAATGTAATGTTTAGTAGCCTAGTTTGACTTCCATAGGGAACATGGTATGGGGACAAGAGTGGTAGAAAATAATATAAACTCTCCAAAATAAGTCTCATCTCTTTAAGATATTATCAGATTCACTAGTGAGACACTGAAGGATAACTGTTTCACTACACTTTGCTGCAGCCAATGTTTTAATGTGCAAATTTGTATTTCAATGAATGTTTTACTACCTTGATGAAACTGCTTGATGAGACACAAGAAACGTCTAGGTTTAAGAACTTGTGGGCTGTTGATTTGATCTTCATTTCAAAATGCCTGGGAAGAATGCCATGAATGTGAAACAAGGTGTATGTATTTCAGTGGTTTATATGTTACCATGCAAAAATCTATCCCTTACACATACATATTTGTTAATTTGTACTACTGTTTTTTTTTAAAAAAAAAAGTACAGAATGGAATGTGTGTGTGAGAGAAATTGTGGTTAATGCATGTTAAGTGATTCTGCACATTGGCATATGCAGTTGTATTCTAAGGTTTATAACTATTTGTGAGACACTAATCACTATTAATTGTATATGAAAATTCAGTGGGTTGTGGAACTAAATTTTGGTTAACGCTTGAAAATTTACCTCCTGGATTTTGAAACCAATTTAATTTTAGATTAGATTTTGTAAGTAACTTAAACATTGACATTAGCATATGAAATACTGTTGCTTTTGCTGGCTTTTATGGTTTGAGGCTTTGCTTTGTGTAAGGTATCTATATGTAGCATACTTGTTTTAAACCTGCAGCAGACATTCATAAATTGTTTCGTCAATCTCATATGAGTACTGTACTTGTTGACTTGAATTAAAATGCAGCAGAAATTGAACATGTACAATATGAAGCTATGCAAGACTAAAAATTATTTAATCTTACACGTTCTCTCATTTTACACTTAAAATGCCTTTTAAATTTGGAAAAGTATATGCAAAAAGGAGTAGCTAACTTCATAGCCCTAACCACACCAATTTGTTAATTGTGGAATGTTCAGTTTTATGCTCCATAATCAACTGAGTGCTTCCAGAGACACTTAGGTTGTTTTGTTCTGCAATATACACACAACACAAGTCCTATAACTTTTTGCGGGAGGGAGCTGAAAGAAACTACAGCATTCTTCTGTCGCAACATAGCTGTCCCCAACAGCCTAATAGCTTAAAAAACCCTTCTTCCCTGCTATAATATCAACACTGAAATTACTTTGAAAAGCCTCTCCCCTTCCAAGATGCATCTCTTCTCTTCCCTCTGCCTCCCTGCTTTACAGAGCTGTTTGGGGAAAAAGATCGAGGCTGGCCATGCTTTTAATAATTGCTTACCAATATAACTTTTCTTCTTTGTTTAAAGCTAAACTTTACAGCTTTAAGAATTTCCAATAAGTTTCTTACACAAAAAACTGAGTTGAAATAGTCTGTGTTCTTTTTTGGAGAATTAGAGTAGATGAAGGGAAGGAAGAAATAATTTAAACATGAGGCTGACAGGTTTAGTATAATTTGTACAACTTTTAAATTATGGACACAATTAATCTCAATATGTCTTGTGTGAAATTGTTTGTCCAACATATTCATAAATGATCTGGAAAAAGGGATAAGCAGTGAGGTGACAAAATTTGCAGGTGATACGAAACTATTCAAGATAGTAAGTCCAAAACAGAGTTACGTAAGTCCAAAACAGAGTTACAAGAGATCTCTCAAAACTGGGTGACTAGACAACACAATGGCCAATCAAGACAGCAAGAGCTGTTAACTGCCAGCAAACATAATTTTAAAAAGCTGTGAACTCTTTACCTTTCTTTCTCAGTCTTCTGGTTTGTTTATTCTCTCTCCCCTTACCTTCTTGAGTCCCTCGTGTTATCTTAATTTTTTTTAAGACTCGCACATTAATACTCTGTAACAAACACAGTGGTAACTTAAAAATGAACAAAAGGGAATGGAAGGGCTGCAGCTCAGCAGCATTTTAATTAAATTCCACATTAATGGCTATCATACCAGAGTAGTGTGAGACACCATACTTGGTTAATTTGTTTGATCTTCTGTACCAGTCCAGGTGCCCAGACTGTAGTTCCTCCCACTGGCAGGTGGAGACAGCTCATCCTCTGGAGGCTCCTTTTCCATCACAGACATACCCAGAAGAAGGTCGGTCTCCCTTTTTGTTCTGTAGCACAGTCAGGTAAAGAAATCCTGCTGGGAACTAAGAACACTTCAGCTCACACCTAGTATGTGTGGATTCCAAACCTCAGATTCTTCTTGAAGGAAAAACAAAAGCAAGAAAAGGGCATCTTTCCCCTTTATGCTATAAATATCATAAAGGGAAGGAAATTCTTGATTTGGGGGAAGGTATGCCTCGCCTGATGAGAGCTGGGAAGGAGAGATACCAGAGCAGGGAAAGGTAAGTGGTAGGGGGCAGCAAGACATCCTTGTTATCTAAGATTTCTTAGATGTTACCCACCCACCTACACAAAGATGTGGAAAGCAGTGGTCCATGACCGATGTGTCCCTGTAAGAGCATGATCACATTACCCTATGACACCATTAGACACAAGTGCTGACAGGATCTGAGAATGGGTACAGGTGTCCTGGAGGTAGAAGGGACTGCATCCCTAAGAGACCTACTAGGCAGATTCAGGCATTGCTGAAGAGTCTTTGAAGCCTCATATGTGTCTTCGCAAGCTTTGATTAATACTATGTATGCATTTAGAGCTGGGACCAGAAGGCTACAGAAATTCAGCAGGTTCTCAGCACAGGACTGTCTGAGTTAACCAAAACTACTACTTTGAGTGATGGTCCCTATTTTATTTTACTATGGGTCATGCATGCTCACCATGCGTGACCCACAGGGTGGATTGATGGGCTCTTCAGTTCCTTCTCACTGCCACTTGGTCTGGGTTGGAACCCTTAACGTCCACAGTTTTGATGTCATTCTGCAATATCACTTGAGTTGTAAATGGTTCATAGTTTTAGTAGTTTTTAATAGCTTTCAATAGATTTTATTAGTTTGAATACTACTTAGATTTAGATTAGCCTGTGGTTAGGGCCCTACCAAATTCATGCTCCATTTTGGTCAATTTCACGGCCATAGGATTTTAAAAATAGCAAATTTCATGATTTCAGCTATTTTAAATCTGAAATTTCATGTTGTAATTATAGGAGTCTTGACCCAAAAAGGAGGGTGTGGGGGTGTGTGTGTGTGTGTGTGTGGAGGGGGTTTGCAAGGTTCTTGTAATACACCCCACCCCCCCTTACTTCTGCACTGCTGCTGGCGGGGAGTTGCCTTCAGAGTTGGGCTCCCTGCCAGCAGCCCCTTCTGCAATCCTTTTTGGGTCAGGACCCACAATTTGAGAAGTGCAGGTCTCCCCTGTGAAATCTGTATAGTATAGGGTAAAAGTGCATACAAGACCAGATTTCACAGGGGAGGCTAGATTTCACAGTCCATGATGCATTTTTCATGGCTGTGAATTTGGTAGGGCTCTATATATGGTGGACCCCCTCTGTGCCTGTTCAGGTACCAAACTATGCCCAGGACTTCGGACTTCAAACTCTGCGCCTCTTGTCCACTGTCGTCCTTGGTTACCGAAGACCATCAATGCTGCCTCTGCTGTCTGGGGTAAGCTCACATCTTGGCTCGGTGAAGTATTTGCTGGTCATTCTCCAGCTGTACCCAAGAAGCGTGAGCACTTTGTCTCCGCAAGTACCTTATGGAGAAAGCCATGAGACCCCAATTGGACCCAGGCCAAGGAACTTTCCTTACATCGGCTTGAATCAGCAAGGAGTGTGCCCCCCTGCTGTATAGTCAGACTGTGGTGCTGGAGAATCCATCCCCACAGACCCCAAGGTGGGGCCTACTTGGGAAGTTAGGAAGCACCGTTCCCCTCCCCCCCCAGCACCAGCAGGGGTCCCAAGCCAGCTACACCCCCCCCCAGCACCTGTGACACCCCCAGCCTGCCCCCCTGAGCACCCGCGGTCCTCCAGCCCAAGTTTTAGTTAGTGGTATATAGTAAAAGTCATGGCCTTTTTTTTTTTTTTTTTTTTTTTTTAAAAATACTTGTGACTAAAACGTAGCCTTAGTCATGACTACTATTCTGTCATGTTTCTATTATCCCTATAATACCTGATTTCATGTCCTGCACCAGTAGTTTTAGTTCCTCCATTTTGTAACCCAGGCTCCTTGTGTTGGTGTACAAACACCTGAATTGTTGCTGCTTGTTTTCGCCCCACATTTCTCGCCCGATTGGATACAGTCATTCTACTGCCAGTATCACCTATCTGACTGGTATCCGCACTGTCCTTCCTCTTAATGTCCATTCTTCTACCCACTTCTGTTCCTTTCCATTGCTGTATCCTTTATTTCTTGATTTTCCTCCCTCTCAATGTTAAAATCAGGCACGCAGATTACATGAACATCTCCCAACTGTCTCCCCGAGTTTAAAGCTCTTTTAATCAGTTGTGCCAGCCTACATCCCAGAATTCTATTTCTCTCCCTAATCAGGTGGAGTCCATGCCATGAGAACAGTCCTCTGT